ACATATGGACCCCGCTACATTCCAAGCTGCCGTAACAGCCGCTGTGATAGCTGTAATTATGCAACTTAGCGCTAACAACACCAACGGAAACGGGAACAGCGCCTACAATTCCAATCACAATGACAGCCAAGGACACCAACAGGTGTGTCCCTGCAAGGACCCCCCTTATTATAAATCCAAGAACTCCCACAACAATGGAGGGGTACTACCCAAGAAGTGAAAGACCTGGAACAACAAAAAGAGCCGTCCGACTCAAGGGCCTGCCAAAAGACAAGAAACTGTGGCAAGCCATGCCACTGCTGTCCCAGCTGCCTCAGTGCAGACAAGACCATACGCTAGAAACCAGCCAAAATGCAACATGTGCAACTTTCATCACCATAGATACTGCCGAGAATTGCATTGCATTAAATGCAACAAGAAAGGGTATAACGCTCGTTTCTGTAGAATGTCGGCCCAACAAACCACCCAAGCCGCAACTGCTAGAGTGAGTCGGGCTTGCTACGGATGTGGGGATGTGGGGCATCGCAAGAGGGAGTGCCCAAAGACTAAAAGAAAAAAGGTCAGCGGCATCAGAGGATTTCCAACCAAGGGACATGAGAAAGCTATAGGGAACCCCGTTGTGATTAACAGTACGTTCCTCCTAAACAACTCAGATACATGCATGCTATTTGATAGTGATGCGGAGAAAAGCTTCGTGAGCCACCAGTTTAAACACTTACTCAGACAAAAACTCCAAACACTAAATGAAACATTCACCGTAGAAATGGCCAATGGAAAGACAGAAAACACTAAAGATATATTCGTAGGATGCACACTAACTCTAAACAATCATTCCTTCCGAATCGACCTTATGCCAATCACAATAAGTAGCTTTGACGTTATCATAGGCATGGATTGGTAAACCCTCACCATGCTGATATTCTGTGTTACAGAAAGGTCGTTCGGCTTAACGTACCAAATAACGAAACCCTTGTCACTTATGACGACAAACCTGAAGCGAACCTCCAAATCATCCCTTACGTCTAGGCCCAAAAGTACCTATGCGAGGGGTACCACGCCTATCTTAGCCCACGATGGGAATGAGAATCAGGAAGCGAAGGACATCTAGGATGTTCCAGAAGTCTGTAACTTTCCCGTTGTATTCCCAGAAGTCCTTCGGGAAATACTGCCCGTTCGCCAAGTCACGTTTGGAGTTAACTTGATCCTCTGGGGCCACTCCCATAGCCAAATCCCCCATCGACTAGCTCCGAGGAAAATGCAGGAATAGCCCAACCAACTAAACAAAACTAATAAATAAAGGACTCATTAGACTGATCTTTTCACCTCGGGGAGCACCAGTCTTGTTCGCAAAGAAGAAGGGCGAATCATTCCGTATGTATGATGACTGTCAAGAGTCAAACAAACTCACCATCAGGGACTGATGTCCCCTACCCCGAATAGACGATCTGCTCGACCAACTCCAAGAAATGAGCTACTTCTCAAAAAATGATCTGGGATCAGGGTTCATTCAGCTCAGAGTTCCGGAGGAAGATACTCCCGATGATAACTTAAGACACCTACGGACAGCTCCCAAACCGACAAACAAAGCGAAGGATCATTCAGACGCTGGAAGACATGGATATACTTTGTTAAAGACCAGTGATACCCATTTACCACTCATCCAATTCTCATACAATGACAACCATCACACTAGCATCAAAGTCGCGCCATTCGAAGCTCCCTACGGACGCAAGTGCAGATCACCTTTGTGTTGGGCTGAGGTAGGCGATACACAGATTGCAAGAGGAAAAGTACCTAGTAGCACACTCACTGGCCCAGAAATCATACGGGAAACCACGAGGAAGATCGTCTGGATCTGTGAACGATTAAAGGCATCCCAGGATTGACAAATGAGCTATGCTGATAAGCGACGAAAACCCTTGGAATCCCAGGTTGATGACCGCGTTCTGTTGAAGGTCTCACCCTGGAAGGGAATGATACGTTTTGACAAACATGGAAAGCTGGTTCCAAGGTATATCGGGCCATTCGAAATCCTTGCTAGGATTGGCCCGGTGGCTTATAAACTCCGACTACCACAAGAATTTGGTAACATACATCCCACTTTCCAAGTGTCCAACCTGAAGAAGTGTCTGTCCGACGGGACCCTTGTAGTCCTACTCGTCAAAATCGAGGTAAACGAGAGTCTACACTTCGTAGAAGAGCCCGTGGAAATCATGGACATGGAAGTCAAAAGGGCGAAACAAAGCCGCATACCCATAGTGAAGGTCTGTTGGAACAATTAAAGGCATCCCAGGATCGACAAATGAGCTATGCTGATAAGCGACGAAAACCCTTCGAATCCCAGGTTGGTGACCGCGTTCTGTTGAAGGTCTCACCCTGGAAGGGAATGATACGTTTTGACAAACATGGAAAGCTGGTTCCAAGGTATATCGGGCCATTCGAAATCCTTGCTAGGATCGGCCCGGTGGCTTATAAACTCCGACTACCACAAGAACTTGGTAACATACATCCCACTTTCCACGTGTCCAACCTGAAGAAGTGTCTGTCCGACGGGACCCTTGTAGTCCTACTCGACGAAATCGAGGTAAACGAGAGTCTACACTTCGTAGAAGAGCCCGTGGAAATCATGGACATGGAAGTCAAAAGGGCGAAACAAAGCCGCATACCCATAGTGAAGGTCCGTTGGAACGCCAAGCGAAGACCTAAATTTACCTGGGAACACGGGGATCAAATGAAACATAAGTACCTACAACTCTTCCTCTAGTTGCGAGAACCCGCTCAAGATGAAAATTTCGGGACGAAATTCCCTCTAACGGGGGGCTGATGTGACAACTGGAAAATTTTGGATCAAACAAGGTTTAAAATGTATCTAGGTAAAGGTACAACCGCAATGTAACCTTGTTGAAATAAAACTTTGAAGGCCAAAAGGGCATTGGTTGTATAAGTATATATATAGGTATATATATACTTTGGAAATCATATTTATAATAACCTCTTGAAAGTAAACAAGTTATAACAAGGCAAGACTAGTCAAATAGCTGGAACAAAAATCATGAATTTAAAACATTGTTTTATAGTTTTTTGGCCTAGTACCCCACCCACCCTACAACACCTCTAAACCGAAATCATTAACCTAGAACACCTCTAGGCCGAAAACACCCAAGAATCCAAACCACCAGACCAAAAACACCCTTAGTGGGTGATTTAAAACCGAAAACACCATGGGGAAATGCTTAGGACCGAAATCACTAGTCAAAGTCAAGCCTAGGACCGAAATCACATGTGATTTCAGTCATACTAGGGAGTTTCTAATGTGTTTTCAGTTTAGGAATAAAGGGATAAGGATAGTTGACTTTAGGATAAGATATTTCACCCATTTCCAATAAGAGATAGTATATAGCAGTATCCCACGTAAATACCCAACAAATGTCAATGTTAATATCCAACAATTAACCAAGTAAAAGTCCCATCACTTTGCCTCCTTATCCTTGGACGAGATTATCCCCAGAAACCTCACCATTTCCATATTCACTTCTAAAAATTTACTCCATTCTCTCTCAAGAAGCAAGCCAAGAATCTTGCAAGTTCAAAACTCCCCAAGTTCATCCTTAGAATTTTGGTAAGATTTCCTTGTTAATTTAGTGTATTTATGCACTCTCATATTAGTTTCATCATATTTACACATAATATTATGTGTTAAAACTCTTAGGATAGTATTCGTTCCAAGGAACTTCATCCACCACATTCAAGTGTTTAGGCTTGAAAATCTTCACATCATCACTTCAAACAACCCACAAAATCCACTCAAGGTGAGTTCATACCCCCACATTTTCAAGGTTTTTCATGTTTAAGGGGGGGGGGGGGGGGATACAAGTAAAACTTTGTTTATCTCACAATTACATACATGTTTTTATCTTTATGTCAAAATAAGATATTATTTGCATGAGTTATGGTTATTACTAGCTTTTATTCAAATATTTGTGATATATTAATTTCAAATGCAAAACTAAACAAAAACTAAAACATTATCTATGTTATAGAAATCGTAAGAAAAATTATGATTAATAAAACTACAAGGTTTTTGGAAGCTTTTTACCAAAATATAGCTTTTCTAACAAAAATGAGTATATTCTAGTTATTTCACTATTTTGTGGGTTACAACCCAAAATATGATGTTTAACCTTCATTTTGAAACTAGACAAGTTCATTACTGTGTATTTATATAAAAGATTATATATAAATAGTCTCAACAAACAAACAAGATAAACTATAATTGGTATGGTTTGAGGATTCACAAACACCACATTATCATTTCAGAAGAAACAGATCATTGTTTAAAGGTATAATTATTTTCATACTATGTATCCATTATGGAAGAATAATACTTTTGTTTACAAGAAAAACGAATTTTTTAGTACAATAGACGTAAACTAGTTGATACAGACTTGTGAGACTTTTGGCTTCACCGTACCTACCAGAGTACACAACTAAGACCTTCATTATAACCAGAGTATCTTGGAGGGAGAGCGTGACACTTGTGTATAGATCTATACGGGATGGACAACCCCACACCTAAACTGTTAGCTACAGTTAGACCGACAGGTCTGGGGTGACAAATGTCGTAAATAGTTCCGACGTCCGAAGCGCGTCGTTCAGGCAACCGGTCCATTAGTATGGTTATAATAACTCACATTAGAGTATTGACAAAACATTGGGTTTATGGGCTAGTGTACACTCAAATAGATTCACAAAATGATAAATCTTACTAAATCTATTTTTCCAGTACCGTATTACTTACATTTTAGTCTTGAGTTAAGACTTACAACGAGTTTAACATACATTCAAGTAGTTTTATATAAAGATAGAACTTACTAATACTACTGTCCAGTACAACATTACTTACTTTTTTCTCTTGGGTCAAGACTTACAATGAGGATAACCTACAATAAACTAGTTTTATACAAAGATAAAACCTACTAATACTACTGTCCAGTACAACATTACTTACATTTTTGTCTTGGGTCAAGACTTACAACGAGGATAACCTACATTAAAGTAGTTTTATACAAAGATAAAACCTACTAATACTATTTTCCAGTACAACATTACTTACATGTTTAGTCTTTACATTTAAGACTTACAACTCATTTTTAAAGAAAATATTGGATTTTCTAGAAGTTTACATTATCATTTTACACGAAACAGTTACAAATCCTTCTCATATAAAACGCTTATGAACTCAACAACTTAATTGTTGACACTTTTCAAAATCACTTGTATTCTCAGGAAATCAGTAAACAGGTAACCACAAGAGTTTTGGTGGATGGGACGTCGTCGCATCACGTTATTTACTGTTGTCATATGCATTTGATCTCATGTAAACAATGTTCTTGAGTACAATGTAAACTTACTAAATATTCAATACAATGGTTGAAATGTTTTGATCTCTATTATCCAATTGTTATGATACTATACAAGAAGTCATCCGCCCCCAGACGTTTCCGTCGTTCTGGTTTGGGAGTGTGACATAAATCAAGATCACAATTAGGTCCATCTTTAGGCATGTAATTCCATGATTTCGCAGTCTATTACCCAAACATCAAAACCACAATTAAAAAGGATGAAAAAAAATTCTGTTAATAACTATCATGGTTGGAAAAGAGCTTTGGAACACTCCAGCTTTAATAGCACACATCAACATACCTTAATCCTTTAAGCTTTTTCGAGAGGCAAAAACAAAGAGAAACAGGCACCATAATCTAACAAATAGTAAGTAACACAATCAAAAAATTTAATATAAAGAAAGAATAAAAAACCCAAAACCTAACAAATTACCAAAATCAACAAAACCATCATTTTTCGATTCACCGTCCAAGACTTACCAAAAAAGTATCTTTGCAGACACACACAGGCTGGGAGTTTCAATTCCATTGTGGATGGGCACTGGGCTTTATGTCAACCACTGTGTACCTGTAGTAGTCGTCAGGTCAAGAGTTTGTTGGAAGAATAACCCTTTTTGCAGAACTATCAATATTTCATTCAAACTGTTTGTTAACTTCACTTAACGCATCCTTCGTTGTCGGCAAAAAAGAATCTTTTCCATTTTGAGTTTTTTTCTCCTCTTCCTGGCCTCAGCTGCAGCCGTCATGTCACATATTGTATTAACTGAACAAACACCTGGAACTTGATGATTTTTATGCATAATTTGCTTGCTATCAGAAAGTAGATTGCCCCGCAAAGAAGAAGACTCTACTGGTTTTTCATTTAGATTAAAATAGGGATGGTTTTGATTATTATTTTGGAGAAAAGGAAAAAGCCAAGGGTGAGGGAATACAATCATTGGAGGCCATGTGAAAGGGGAAAATGATGATTGGTTACACATCATAATCGGAGAATTTGTTGATGAAGAACAATAAGTATCTTCATACATCTTTGTTATCTTGATCATCTACAAGAAGAGACACGTATTAGATGTAGTACTTACTGTAAATTTTTAGGGGTTAATTGCAAGAAGTAGCAACATATTTTTATTTATTTGTTTATTATAAAAATCCTACAAAAAAAATAATAAATACAATGTTTTAATAGAAAGAAAGTTGCTATAATAAACAAAAATATGAAAGAACATTAAAGTTTCTTGCATTTAACCCTAATCTTAATCATAGTTTTACCTTTGCTTTTAAGCTTTCATTTGTACTCTTCAAAAATTCCAACTCTTTTGAAGCCATCTCCTTTTTCTAATAACAAAAGAGAGGTAAAATTTAGATTTGTTACGCTCCATAGATTTTGGGAATGCAAAACTATGCTACTAAAAATGACAAATTTTGTTCATAAAACAACATCCAAGATATGAAATTGGGCAAATTCCAAAATAACATGAAATACTCTCATCAGGTGATCTAACCACAAAAGTATCTATAATTTAGGGGTGTTTGGGATTGCTTATTTTAAGTGCTTATTACTAATAAGCACTTTTACTTGCGTGGATGAAATTAAAAAAAAATAATGGACCTAAATAAGAAGTTTCTGATAATTTGTTATCTTCTAACTTATTTTGAAACTGTTTATTATAAATGCAAATCATTTTACCATTTTACCCCTATTTTAATCGTAAAAAATCATATATATATATATATATATATATATATATATTATATATATATATATATATATGATGAGGTTCAATAGAGAACCACCAAAGAACCAATCTTTTTTTCAATTTTTAGAACTTATTTTTTATCAAAAAAAAAAAACTAAAAATATAGAAATTCATAACTTTTTATCCTTTTTCCAATGATATCAAATTCGAAAAAAAAAATTTCGTCAAATTCACAATGTGAATCTTTGAAAATTCACAATGTGAATCTAAATTCACACGGTGAATCCGAAAAATATATTTAACATTCACAATGTTATGTTATGAATTTAGATATTTTTAGTTTTTTTTTCGATAATGAATAAGCTCTAGAACTTGGAAAAAAATTGGTTCATTGGAGAACCAATAATTATGGTTGTCTATTGAACTTTTATATATATATATATATATATATATATATATATATATATATATATATTGCAACAACCTACTTTTCTCTTTTCATCATCAATAATATATATATATATATATATAGATATATATATATATATATATATATATATCTATATATATATATATATATGCCCTTTCCGGTCATTTTTCATGTGTAAACAATATCTACCAAATACTAACTAACAACTATCACTTATTGTGCTTTGGTACCTAATAAGCTATTACAAACATTATTTATTAAACAAAATTTTGGTACAGCATAAACTGATAAACATTTTTACAAGAAACCATAAGTTGTTTAACGATTAACTAGCTTTGAAATAATAAGATACCCGTTTATTTTTTATATCAATTTAAAAAACAGAAAACAGTTTATCGATTAGTGTTTTCCATATTTTTAAACCATTAGATTATTATTATTATTATTATTATTATTATTATTATAATAATAATAATAATAATATCTTCTCACATTTACTAGGGGACAAGTGTGTGGGGCTATTTTAAGAAAGATTTGTGCAGGAAGTGGGGACAAAATTTAGATTTGTAAGGTCCACGATATTAATGTAAGGAACCAAAGCATACTATATAAATGCAAAACTACGCTACTTAAAGTGACAAATCCTTGTCATAAATCCAAAACATGAAATTTTAAAGAAAATAATGCAGGAAAAAATAGACCAACCCTTTTCAAATTTTTGTTCTCCCATGCTAGATCACCAGCTTTTCTGGCCAACTCCTCATATATGGCCTTGAAAATTCATCATAAATTAAGAGAAACCTCAGTAATGAAAAAAGAAAAACCCTTTTATCTAACATATATATATATATATATATATATATATATATATATATATATATATATATATATATATATTATCTTACATAATAAAAATCTTGAAATTAAAAATTCTAAAATACAATACCTGCCTCCTGCGGATTGTTTGTCTAGCTGACTCTCTGTTTGCCAGCACTCTGCGTATCTTACGCGCTTCCTTTTCCGCCTGTATCAAGAAAGTTTTAGGCATAAAATACCGATGGATATATTTAAAAAAGCGATCTCAAGATCTATATAGTATATGAGTTTCAGTTTAAGACTTTAAATTTCAATATACATTTAGCTACTCCTAAAAAAAGAAAAAAAAAATTATAGTCAGGTCCCCACTTAAGTATTTTTTGGGTCAGAGATTCAATATCATCTTACCAAATATTTCTACTTCATTAATATCATCTTAGTAAATATTTGTACTTATCTTCCTAAAGGAGAAAATTTTTTTTACCTTTTTGGGACCCTCTTTTGGTGAAAGAACCCTAAAGACCCCAAAAGAGACATATTTATTTTTTATTTTTTTAATTTCTATGTTTTTTTTATATACAATGACTCATTAATTATGGTTCTGGATTCTTATACTAGTCATCTAGCTATGTAGATGAATTTCATTTTGGAGATAACCCATTTTTGCACGAAAATAAATAGAGATAGGCATACAACTAAAAAGGAGACAGATCTTGTTACCTCGGTCAAAATCCTTCTATGCCTCCTGCCACCTAAAGTTGAATATTTTGTGGAATAAGAAACATTTGATGCAAGTTCAGTATTCCATTCATTGTTCACTGGTTTTTCAGCCCAGATGCATGTCTTCTCCGATTGCTGACAAAAATAAATGAGGGTAAATTTGTAAAAAGTTACTTCTTTATTAATATAGAAGTCTATCTTTTACTTAATGCAAGTTGCAATTGATAAAATAGTGAGAACAGACAAGGACCTGTTATTGACACCATAAAGATTGAAGAAGACAAATGATAGTTAACTATTTGTCGCCTTTAAAATATGTATTGATTGTATAACATATTTATTGAATTGAGATTGTGACAACTTGAAAAGATAAGAACCTTTCATTCATTTATGTGACCCATTAGACTCGATGTTGCATTTTCAATTGCTATACAGGTTGTCAAAATTGACCATGGATATAAGAAACAATAAGTAAAGTGAACGATGTGATTTGTGAAGGTGATGGTAAATACGAAGTAACAATTCAAAACACTGATAGTAATTAAAACACCATAATTACATGGCCATCGATGAAAATTAGGTAAATAAGAAACCTTATCGACATTGATGGGACGCTTCGAGGACGATTCTATTGAGTCAAAACACGAGTTACCAGCGTTTGATTCGGCCTTGACTCGTTCACTAACCGATTCACCAACATGACCTAACGCCGCCAACGCCTCAGCCGCTTCCAACATCCGGTGATCTTCCCGGGCATTTTCTGAACTCGATCCCTTAATGGCCTCCATGGTTAGTCAATACCACCAATTGAGTGGGGAGGAGCAGAGAGAGTGAAGAAGCCATGTTAGTAGTCGCGACGAAGGGAGAGGTAGAAGGTGACAGGTGTCATGCCACATCATGTTTGGCGTCTTATAAAAAATAGTTAATGTATGAAAAAAGGACACGTATCATTGAAGTATAGGCCACGTTGGCAATGTGAAACTCGCGTGATGTGGAAGAACGGTAGCGATTTTACGGTGTGGGATTGGGTGTCTGTGGAACGGCGCATGCAGTATCATGTGGACCGCTTTTGCCTTATTTTGAACAAGTGGACATACGACTCACCGCTACTTAATATTGTATGTTCTTTAATATTAAAAATTAAATTTTAATATTTAGTTTTTAAATCTTTGGATTTCTAATAACTTAATTATGGGTAAATTACCTTTTCAATTAATTGAATTGTCATGTTATACTTTATATCATTTAGTTGATATTCATTGTATCATATCTTATTTGCAATGGAACGGTAAAGTTTACCAAGTTTAAGCATATGTCAAATACATCTGATCTAAGGAGGATTGGGATACAAACTTGTTACTTTGAATGCGTACACCTGGGATAGTTCATAGTTGTCCCAAAAAGAGGCTGGTAATTAATACGATCTTTTACTCGATATTTTGGAATATTGAAATATATGATGTAAATACAGGGCAATTTGGAAAACTTTTGGTGGAATAGAGCTGCTCTCCTTTTCTCTAGCTGTTACATGCTCCTTTCTCTTATTTTATATATCATTTATTTGTCGTTGCTCCTTGCTAATGGTTTTGGTTTAATATATATCATTTATTTTTCGTTCAAAAAAAAAATTACATCTGATATTTTTAATATCATAATGAAATTAGTATTGTTCATTAGTATATGTTTAAAATTGTTTGTTGTTTTTGTTTCACAATATATGTTTATTAAGTTCACATTGTGTATGAATGGAAGACTTCAATGTTAATTTTATGCTCACCTTATATAAGTTATGTCGCACCCATGATGTAATTTAATTGTTTTGTAGAACTAATATAGATCCATGTTTTATCGTTGATAGAATATAGGTAACTGTTAATGATTAGGCTGGTAGATGTGGTACCACGTCTTATCATATTTTCGGTCTGCCGTATTAGCGTTACATCATTTTCTTCTCACCTTCCTCTCACTCCACAAAACTGATAGAAATAGTATCATAATTCACCATAATTTTTGTTTTTTAATATTAAATAAAATGTAATTATATGAAATTAATAAAATGAAAGTATCAGCAGATAATTACATTATCTATCAGTACCTTCATATCGCTACCTGTAATACAAAGAAACTGAGTGAGTCAAGTTGGGAAACCTGGTGAGATACATAGGGTTTTCAACCCACAATATTATAATCTTTAATTATATATTCTTCAGCATTCAAATAACCTAATTACACTATTCTCGTTATCCTCACTTTTTTAACGCCTTGTCCCGAATCGTTTTCCATTTGGGTGTGGGTGACGTAATTCAGATGATCCGGGTGTTCGGTTTGTGTTTTGGAGCCAATGGGTATTTTGGTAAAGTGTCAGCTCAGACTTTTATGGAAATTGGATTTCTGTTCGGGAAATCTTAAGGCGCGTATGAGTTGATAAAAGCATAGAGCTTCTTGTTACATTTTTGTGGATATAAGGATCATCAAAATCGGATTTATAATGAAGAAGTTATGGCCTTTGGAGTATTTTAGGGTTTAAGGGAAACCCTAGTACGCGGGGCGTACATAGGGAGTACACAGAGCGTACACCAGTGTACACTTAGCGTACCAAGAAGGAATGATCGTGAAGCCTCAGCCTCGTACGCTAGGCGTACGAGTGCAAGAAACCCTAATTTTGAGTGTGTTGTACTTATTTAAGCACCTTAAGTCTTTAGGGCTGGCCTCTTTACCAGCCCCCAAACCTCCTAAAACCCTAAATTGACCCTTAAGCCTTCTTTGTGGTGTTCTTGAGCTCTTGAGAAGATTTTGGTGGTTATTTTGCCCATTGTGAAGGAAGTAACGAAGATTGAATGTGCTTTGCTTGGTGAGGAGCCTATAGATCCAGAATCATCCCCCTTTTTGCAAGACTTTGGAGGTATCAAGTTCATACCTTGGCTTGTAGATGTTTAGATCTCTTTATGGCTTGAATTGCTATGTTTTTGGTCCCTTTTTGGGTTGGTTGTTGAGTTAAAACGTCCGAGGACTTATTCTTGTAGATCTGAGCTTATTAGGAGTTCCTTAAGCATAAAGGTGCCAACTTTATGGGGTATTGGGCCTCATGCATGCATTAATTATCATATTAAGTACCTTTTAAGCTTAAGAGCTTCATTTAGTCATGCATGAACGTAAAGTTAGTAACTTTACGTGATAAATCAGTCCAAGGAAGTCAGATCTAGGTTGTGGAGTAAAGTCTTTATGGAATAGAGCTTAATATGGAAGTTGGTTGTATGTGAGGGTACGTTGGGCGTACAAGTAAGTACGCTTAGCGTACAAGCCCTAAGGCAAGTATGATGCGCGTACGAGCAGAGTACGCCACACGTACTCAGCAGAGTGGGCCTCAGATCTTTTGGTCTTTGGTTTGGGCCATAACTTGGTCTTAGATGTTTAGGGCCTTGTTGGGCCTTCAGAATTTAAGTGTTTTAGGCTAAGAATGTTGTTGAACCTTGGATCAAGGCCCATGGAAGGGTTTGGGCCCAATTTGGAAAATTGGGCCTTGTATGATTATTTGGTATTTCAGCCCTTTGGATTTTTAGGTTTGGGCTTAAGTCTTGGTCCAAACTGATGGGTTTTTAGTACTATAACACTCCTAATCAACAACTCATATATCTTGGTTTGAAGATTATACGATATTATCGTCTCACAATCACTCGTGATAAGTTCCATGAAGTGATTCATGTGAGCGTGGGTTTAATCCAATACTCAAATCTTATTTCAAGAGCACTCATGAATGTTGTAGAAAACTTTTGCTATGTCTAACACCTTAGACAATCTTACAACCCTATGCATGACAGTCTGGCCTCATAACCTATTTCCAAAGTATGATCGACTATGAATAGTTTGAATAATCTTATGATTCTGGAAGTCAAAACATGCAAAAGTGAAACAATAGTAAACAATTGACACAAAATAGTAACTTTACATATAAATAAAACTCATTTTATTCAATCATCAATTGTCAATTACATTTTAGCTATTACAAGTTTCTAAATATCTATCTAATCACTAAAACTATTATCGTCCTTCAGCCCGATACTTCTAGCGTGCTGCAAGTGCTTAACCCTACTCAGTCCCTTCGTAAGGGGATCTGCTAGGTTCTCCTACGACGATACCCTCTTTACTACGAGGAGTCCTTCTTCTATCCGATGTCTTATGAAGTGATATTTTTTGTCGATGTGCCTGGATCTGCCATGATCCCTTGGTTCCTTGGTTAAGGCGACCTCACTCTCGCTATCACAGAAAATCTCCATAGGCTCCTTTACAGTTGGTACAACTCCAAGGTCTCCGATGAAGTTTTTTAGCCATATCGCCTCCTTCGAGGCTTCGCTTGCTGGTATGTACTCTGATTCGCACATCGAATCAGCTACAGTCTCCTGTTTGGAACTTTTCCATGTTACTGCTCCTCCATTTAAGGTAAATACCCAACTTGACTGAGAGCGGAAATTATCTCTGACGGTCTGAAAGCCGGCGTCACTATACCCTGTCACTCTCAAGTCATCACTCCCACCGAGGGTAAGGACCCAATCCTTAGTCCTTCGCAGGTACTTAAGAATGTTCTTAACTGCCGCCCAGTGAGCTTTACCGGGATTCCCTTGATATCAACTAACCATGCTCAAAGCAAAAGCTACATCAGGGCGAGTACATGTCATAGCATACATGATCGAGCCAACTACATAAGCACATGATATTCGACTCACTTCTGCTATCTCAGCATTGGCACTCGGACTCTGAGTCTTACTCAGTTTGGTATTGCTTAGGATAGGTAATTCCCCTTTCTTGGAATTCTCCATGCTGAAACGTTTCAACACCTTGTCTACGTAGGTATTTTGACTAAATCCTATCAGTCTTTTGCTCCTATTTCTCAATATCCTTATCCCTAGACTGTAAGCAGCTTCCCCAAGGTCCTTCATAGCAAAACACTTCCCAAGCCAGGACTTAACATCCTACAAAGTTGGGACGTCGTTTCCTATGAGCAGTATGTCGTCTACATACAATACAAGGAAGCTAACTATACTCCCACCAGCTTTAACATATACGCATGACTCATCCTCGCTTCTCGAAAAACCAAACTCTTTGACTTTCTCATTGAAACAAAGATTCCATCTGCTAGATGCTTGTTTCAATCGATAAATGGATTTCTCAAGCTTACACACTCTATTAGGGTACTTTGCATCGACAAAACCCTCTGGCTGACTCATGTAAACATCTTCAGCCAACTTCCCATTAAGGAAAGCGGTTTTGACTTCCATTTGCCATATTTCATAATCATGAAATGCAGTTATGACTAGCATAACCCTTATAGATTTAATTTTGGCCACTGGTGAGAAGGTCTCGTCATAGTCAACTCCAGGAGTTTGAGTAAAGCCCTTCGCAACCAATTGTGCCTTATATGTGTATACTTTCCCATCCATTTCGGTATTCTTCTTGAAGATCCATTTGCACCCGACCGTCTAACGACCTGGGTACATTGTCAACCAAGTTCCAAACTTGATTTTCATACATGGACTGAATCTAGCTGTTCATAGCCTCTTTCCATGTTGCGGACTCGGGGCCTGCCATGGCTTCCTTGTAGTTATTAGGCTCATCTAAATTTACCAGTGTACTATCACTAATAAACGTATCACCTTCCGTAGTAATATGAAAACCATAAAACTCCGGTGCCACTCTAACTCTACTGGAACGTCTCAGAGGTAAGGACTCGTCAACTGGTTCAACAGGAGTTTCCTCCTCAAGTTGAGTGCTAGTGTTTGAGGTTCCTTCATCA